GCAACTGAAAACCCTGTTCCTGTGTGGCCATTGTTTTCTTCTTATTGTTTGTTACGGGTTTCGATTGAGAATGAGGGGTCAGAATTTGGTGGTGGTGGTGTGTATTTGTATGGGTTGATTGAGAAGAAGCAGGTTGTTGAGTTGAGTAGTTTGGGAGATGATTTGAAGAGGATTGAGATGTTGACGCGTGTCTTTGGGGTGAGGTTGGTTGGAAGAAACGGGTTGTGTGATGCGGCTGAATCTCTTATCGGTAGAATGAAATCGGGCAAATCGGTTCCGAATCTCGTGTGACTTTTGATTATTAGTAGTGGAATTTATGTTAGACAGGTGCTGGGAATTTAGATTGAATGGCTCTGTTGAATATGTGTAATTTCTTGAGATGGAACTTTGTAACCTCGGTTATGTAAATATAACTTGGTTAATTTATCGAAATATTAAATTATCGAACTAATAATTTAATGTATTTTTACCGAATCGGGACAAGAAAAAATTATTTTTTAAGCCCTCATCGAGTATTAATTTATCGAGGTTCAATTAACTGTACACATAACAACCATTATAAAAATCGATAAGATCTTTCATTTTGAATGTTGCTTTATTCAACAACCTATAATAACTGTACGCACAAGACATGCTTCGAATACGAGTACTACTGCCTGGGCATCATCCAAAAATCGAAAAAGGCATCATCCAAAAATCGAAAAAAAACTCGAAAAGTTCTCTATTTCCTCTGTTGGAAGGAATCGCATTTTCGTTCAGTTCACGTACTAACAAGCAACTTATGTGTTTGGTGAACACGGAAAAGCAAACCTTAGAGATTCAGTTGACATCACTATATATACAAGTTCACGACTATATAATACCGTCAAGTCAAGTTGTGGAGTAAAGGGATACCTTAGAGATTCAGCTGACACCACCACGACTATTATTTATTAAGCATGTCAAGAATCGAGAATGCAGCTTTCTGGAAATGATCCTTCTCTTGTTCCAAGTGATTTTTCCTCTCGAGCGCAAAGTCTTTCGACTTCTGTATCTCCTCCATTATGCCAGCAGAGTTGTGGTCAATTTCACTGTGAAAATCGGGTGGAAATAGGTTCATTTGAAAGTATAATAAATAACGAAAGGTAGTACAGGTTTTACAACAGTACACAAATCGAAGTAACAAATATTCCCAAGAATAGACTCATAAACGAGACGACTGCATAATCAACTATTTCGATCAACAATAATGAGATTTAGAATTATGAAGCAAGAGAAATGCCTAGAAATATTCATAACGTAAACGTGCTTTTTGTTGGCTCATAGGCATATAGCTTACTTTATCATCTTAAGCATGTTGTCCATCGCTACTTGCACGTTCTGAGTGAGATCTGTTCGTCTCACAAAAACAATTTTTTTGTTAGAATTATATTAAAAATATAAAGTAAAACTCGTACAATCGTAAGTGATCAATACATGAAAAACTGACCTAATTTTTCGATAGTTTACATCAACAACTAAATGGAACTCACATATACGACATATAGGAACTGTCGATGAATCCACAACTGTTTACATTTAAGACTTACCAAATCTGAACATAGGTGAAAAAGTTCGAACAGAACATTTATCCTGATGGTTATGGAACACATAATATTTTTACAATTAGATTTTATCTAATCTCGTAATCAATGAACATTAGAATCATTCCAGTGCACTGAGAAATTCTCCTCTGTAAAGCAATCATTCCGTTCAGTCGAAAATCTTCCAATTGTTCTTTAGTTTTAACAATCGGTGAAACAAATAAGTCATGTCACACAATATTCTTTTATTCTTTGTCGTCTTCGTATCCTATTACATTTCAAAATAGTTAACAGAAACAACTGTCTCGAAAAATATCAAATCCATTCAAGCAACAAGTATCGAATATCTTCTATTGTGAATGGTGTAAATCGAGAGAGATTTTCGACATAAGCAACTTAATATAGACAAATGTGATTATGTAATTAAGATGAAAACTACTGAAAATTTTGAACAACATACATATTTTTTCACAGCTTTTTACAGAATTTATTCTATCATCAAGCATAAAAACCACATCAACGATATGAGTATACGTCAAGGATCGGGGAATATGTACACTGTATTTCATTACTCAGGAATAACATCAAATCAAAATCTCCTCACTGAAAATCAAAAACAAAATTGACAAGCAGCAATTTGAAAATTGAAGAAAGAAACACGAAATCAATTCTTCGATCGCAGGGAAAACTAAATTTAGTGAAGATAGGAACTTAATCAAAACAATAATTCGGCATAGCAACAAATCCGAAATGCATATTGCACACCATAAGTGTGTGTGTGTGTGTGTGTGTGTGTGTGTGTGTGTGTGTGTGTGTGTGTGTGTGTGTGTGTGGAAGCATTACCGTAAATGAGAGAAGATAGCTGAGACTCGACGGCGGACGGAGGAGGAGCGAGCTCTGCTCCGGTAAGAGGTGGCGACGACGTCATTCCTTGATGCTTTAGAGAGAGAGAGAGAGAGAGGAATTGTGAAATGAGAGTACAGATGAAAAGTGAAATCGGAAATGGTTGATTTTGGCAGTACAAACTATTTAGGGGTTAAATAAATTACGAGAAACCCCTGAGTTAAGATTAATTTATAAACAACCCGTAATTATTCGTAATTATTACAATACCCCTGAACTTTGTTGTTGTCTTACATTGTACCCTTAGCGGTATGAATTTTGACAATATTTTTTTCTCCTTTCATTCCATGGAATGTTCTTGTGTATGAGAAGTCTTAAAAAAAAGTTTTATTATTTAAGGTGTTAAATATAACATTTTGAATAAAATTAACACCTTTTAAATAATTAACTGTAATTTCGTTAAAAAAAATGGAAATCAAATTTTCAAAAATTGGGATAAAAACATTTGTTCCATGTTTATAATTTTTTGGATGGGAAAAAACCACATGGAATTCATCAAATGTCACTAGAAAGTCGTAAGAATGTCAATGAAAAATTCGTCAAAGCAATATTAATATATGGCATTGGATTTGACCCAAAATTTTACTAGACACCCTCGCCGACCACCAGCCGCCACCGTCAAAATCTACAATTCGAATTCTTCAAACCTACAAAACAAAATTCAATATTTTTTTAAACTAACCATGTAAGGGATGTTGTAGATCAAAACAAACTTTAGGGTTTTTTTTAGTAACCTATAGATACTTGAGGACTAGGAGAGTTTGGTAATTCATGTATTTTCATTTAAGGACATTATAGACATTACACATTTCTTGTTAAGAAATTTTGTCTTCGAATAGGGTTTTTGGTAATTTGCCCAAGTATTTTCTTACACGAGCCACGAGTTAAATAGTCATTATTCTGTGATTAAGCTATATTAGGTTTTAGATGAAAAGTATCAACATCCGACTTTAGCTCAGTTGGTAGAGCGGAGGACTGTAGTGTTTACATGGAAATCCTTAGGTCGCTGGTTCGAATCCGGCAAGTCGGATATGGTTTTTTTTTCTTTTTTTTGTATTTCTTTCTAATTAATCTTTTTGTGTTATTCTTGGTCACAAAATTGAAACCCTCAAAATAGAGAAAGATTCATTCTGTCGTCCCTTATTAATTAAAGGGAGCATCTGATTATATTGATTTTACATTTTCCAGAGAATCTTAAAAAGGTTTCCACTCAGCATTGCATTATGCGCGTGAGCACAAACAAACTATGTGTCAATCTTATAGTTGTATCCTATTTAGTACGGAAACTTCAACTTCTTAATGGTTTGAATATGTTTCGTGTCTGACACTCAAGAACACCTGTCAGACAGACATTTTATGGGTCATTTTGCAATTTCGGAAAAATTGGAAGAATATTTGAATAACAATTTTTCAAATATTTTGTTGATTTACATGACCCATAAAATTGTTATTAAAATTTATAGTAAAATTTTTATCTTTAAATGCAAATTGATAGTTGATAGTAAAATTTATTTTGAACATGTTTGCATGAAAATATATAAAAGAATCTATTTATAAATAAAAACTTATATATGTTTATATCACATTATTTATAAATATACGCTTATACTTTTAATATTTGCATGTTTCCCCAGGCTCCCGTATCACTATTTACATGTTCGTACTACATAGGTTGTAGGCTTTAGTATGGAAACAAATTTATATATTTCAATAATTACTTGCTTTTGCATTAAAACAATTGGAATTTCTTCTAATGACCGTCTCCATTTAAAGACTAAAAAGAATATAAAGAGAAGAAAAAAAAAATTAAAAGAAAGCTTATCAAGAAAAAAGAATCCTATCCCACGATTAAATCTTCTTCATTTAAGAAGCATAATCTCATTTTATCAGAATACAACAATAGTGCAGATTCCTTGATCACAATATATATAACCTTCTTCTTCTTCAATATTTCGAGCACGAATATCGAGACAAGATCATGGCTGAAGCAAAGAGGTTATTGTCTTACAACAATGGTAAGAAAAACTCTGTCAATAGATACAGAACAAGTGGATCAAGTTCATTCTCAGAGCAACCACCACGTGGAAAACGTGCTCTCCTTTGTTGCGTAAGTTACAGAAACCAAAAATTCGAGCTTAAGGGAACAACACATGACCTGAAGAACATGAGAAGTTTGCTCGTCGAACAATTCCGATTCCCCCTCGATGCCATCCTCATTCTTGCAGGTGAATCAGAAACGATTACCTGTCTATTTCATGACGAAAATCCTTACTCTATTTAATCATAATTCTTTTTTTCCCATATTAAGTGTCGCTTTTGTTTTTGGTCCAACTTTACCGTAATTAATGATATATGAAAAGAAGATAATTGTATATATTGATGATTGAAGAAACAAAATATAAAAAAAATAAAAAAATTGCAGAGAAAGAGCGATATTCGCCTCCAACGAGGAAGAACATAGAAGACGGTTTCCAATGGCTAATGAGGGGCATTCAGCCTGGTGACTCGTTAGTGTTCTACTTCTCGGGCCATGGATTAAGACAACGTGGACTCCACGGAGATGAGATCGACGGCTACGATGAGACAATCTGCCCGCTAGATTTTCAGACAAATGGAATGATTTTGGACAACTACATCAACACAACACTCGTTCGGCCGTTGATCCGTGGGGTCACACTCCATGCCATAATAGATTCTTGCCACAGTGGAACGGTTCTCGATTTGCCACTTGTGTACAACATGAACACGTGAGTCCCCCTTTATATATATAGAGAGAGAGAAATGATGTAATAAGATTTAAAATCATTGTCGGTTATTATGCAATGGGAATAACGGATTTCGTTTTAGCAGAAGAAAATGGGATGATAATAGTCCTAGGAATGAGGAATCTTCTTGTAATAAGGGAACAAATGGTGGAAAGGCCATTTCAATTAGTGCATGTCAAGATTATCAGCAGGCTGCAGATACATCAGTAATGCATCTTCTTTAAAGCTTTTCCAATGCATAATATATAACTATTGACACTGTTAATAATATATATATATATATATATATATATATATATATATATATATATATATATATTATTGCAGGCATTCTCGCCGGAGAAGAAGAATATGACAGGTGCAATGACGTGTATCTTCGTAAGAGCAGTAAAAGGAGGAGCAGCATCAAACAATGGAAAGAAGATAACTTACCAAGGGATTCTTGATCATATGCATCAGTCACTAAATCAAGAAGAAAAGGTGAGCTGTGTCGGTGCTGGCTTTCGTAGAGCTCTTCGTCGCAAGATTTTCCAGGTTTTAATTTCTCCACTTCTGACCAAGAAAAAAAATATATAACACATTTTCTCACATAGAAAAAATCTATTATGGATATATATATTTCTACTATAACATGACAAGGATTTGGGAATGTTTTCAGGATCCTCTATTGTCGTCTTCAGAAGAGTTCGACACTGAAACGGAGTTCAAGCTCTAATCATGCCCAGACAGTGAGAAGATGATTGAAACATTGTTAAGAAATAAGAGCTTTAAGTTTCTTTTTGTTCATGATTTTCAAACTTCTTTTATCTTTATTCAGATTTTGAATAATGCAAAAGACATTTTGAGGCTTTGTTCCACCCTCTTGATTTGTGCAATTTACAAAAAAATAAATAATAATAATAAATAAATAAATAAAATCAGTGTGATATTAATAATTTACAAACTTAGCTGGATTTTTTTTAATTTTTTGGTGAACATATGAAACCTCGTGAATATTTTTGTAATTTTGAAAAATCAATCATCAGGCTGAATGGACAATACTAACATTAAAATTCACAATCTACAAGCAATATATTTCCAAAAAGAATATGCTTTCGACTTTTCGTATATCACATTGCAAGTACTACGATGCAGCAGCGCACACAGATTACAAGTTGTATCGATCTATACACTGGAAACTGAAAGGCTAAAGTTGATTTACATCAGGATGACAATAGAAAGAGAGATTTAGTATGAATCTTGAAACATTTGGTTGTCCTTTTTTACATAGTTCACTGGCTAAGACGAGACTTAATTATGAAATACTAACGATAAAGAGAACACACCTTTTCCTTTAAAAGCTCAGCGGCATCTATGGTACCATTGGTATTATATGGTAATTGAAGGGTGCCGACTTCTTCTTGAAGAGAAGAATACATATCCAAGACGGTATCAAGTAGGAATTTATCAGCTCCGTGAGATGCAATAAACGATACAGAAATCGGACAGCCGTCATGGCTTCCAAATGGAACGGCAACCTGAACATCTCACACACACACAAAAAAAAAATTCATATTGTTGGCAATATAAATAAATCAGAATGTTTAAACTTCTTCCATTAAAAATTACCTGACATCCTCCAGACAAACTAGCAATGCTCAACAATGCATGAATTCTGTCATAGACTTCCGTAAAAAGACCTTTTTTTGTGTTCAGTTTGATCGGAGGATCAGCTACTGTAGGAATTACTAATATCCCGTCATCCTTAAATAGTCGAGCAGAGAAATGGAACCAATTAGAAGCAAGAAAAATTAAGAACATAATTTGGCATATTTGCTGGCAATAGTAATGAATGAACACCTTCAATAAACTTTGTAGAGCAGCTCTCATTTCTGTTCTAACTTTATATAAACTCTTGACATTCTCTTGGGTTGTGTTTATTGCTGCCCAAACACGATTCGAGATATCAAAACCTAGTTTAGGTTTCACTGATCTAATCCACTCTTCATGATTTGTTTTGAATTCGTATCTGAAAAGCAACAAAGCTAGATTGAGAAATTAATGCCACTAACTAAAAAAAAAAAAGAATTGACCACAAAATAAACTTCGTCTTTTTCCTCCCAAAATTGTAAAACCAGTTTATTAAAAGACATAATTCACTCATTTGAACAATACCTTTGTAGTATAAGCATTACAGAAGACAGTGCTTTCATAGTTGATATTCCATTTTGCTGATTTCTTGATTCTTCACAAAATCTTTTCAGGCTAGGCACGTTTGAAGCAATATAGTTCCCAAAATTCATATGCTTTGGTGTTTTGTCTGCACACGTAAAACAAATGAAAAGTGAGCTATTTCAAATTTAAATATTTTACTGCAGAGTCGGGACATAATTCATCAGGAAAATGTTGGTAAATAGTTACTCGAACTTTACCGATCAATTACAGATGAGTAGAGAAAAAGAAAATTCCATTTTAGAAAAAAAGAATCTGCTACTTACAGCCAGATAACTTCTCTGTTGCTTTTCTTACAACATGAACAGTCTTCTGAATTGGGACCTTAGAAAGCTGGAAAAGATCATCAGCTATAATTATGCTCCTCGTCTTTTTAGGTTCCAGGAAATTTAACTGGAGTAGAACATGTCCGACACGATGCAAAACAGATGGATCAGATGCCAAGCAACCTGAAGCAGTAATTTTATTATTACTCAATATTATTACTGATCTTGTCATGTCACGAAAGAAGTTTTGGCATTTCAGACAAGGAGGGATACGAAATTTGAACTTTTAGAAGAGCAGGGTGTAATTGCATACCGACGGTGTCTAGACTTTGAGAGTTTGGCAGAACACCAATTGTAGATACAACACCATGAGATGGTCTGAATCCAAGAATACCACAAAATGATGATGGTAATCTTATACAACCAGTTGTATCTGTACCTAAAATATCAACTCGTATGATTAGAATGCCAAATTAGCAAGGGGCAAAATAAGCAAGGGACTGCAACTTAAAAGTACGGTACACGTTACTCTGGGGATTATAGTCCATATGAATATATACAGCAAGCTAGAAAATTGAACTATCTGATGTCCACATAACATATAGAACAGATAAGTAGCAGAACACCAATGTAGACGCCATCAATAGTTCAAATCAATAGCAGAAAATTTACCGAAACTCTAAAAAGCATGACCATCTAAGAGAATTTTGAAATTATAAGCAAGATAATTTTAGAAAACGTTCGGAACTATTTGTATTGTAAGGAACTTGAATTTAAAATGTATTTCCTATAAGATAAGCATATAAATCCTTAACAAGAAAAACGTAAACATAATTATCTAAATTGCGCCTGAAAACAATATTAGCACCAAAATTGTTAATGATCTCAATAATTAAAAAACAAAAGGAACCAAAAGATTATACCAAGAGCAAAATCCACAAGATGGGCTGCAACAGCTGCTGCTGATCCACTAGACGAACCTCCTGGAACATGAGATGGCTTTTGTGGATTTATTGGAGTTCCATAACTTCTATTTTCCCCTAATATCCTGTAAGAATTATCAATAAACAATGATCAATTTATACCTTTAACCACCACCACCACTGAAAAAGAAGAAAATATGAGAAGATTTTCCCAGTCTCGTAAAACAAAATCTAACCAGATTTAGCAAGCCCTGTTATAATGGTGTTATACCAAAAACCACAATAACTTTACGAAGTAGAAATCACATGCATTAAGATTTCCATTTCTCGTTATCCAATGTTCGCATAGATTTAGACCGTGCTGTATTAACAAATGTTAGGCAAACGAAAATTACCCGAAACCAAGTTCATCCATGACAGTCTTGCCCTTGCAGGTCGAGCCGTTTCTTAGCATGGTTGTTACCGCCATAGCAGTTATCTCGGCTGCTTTATGAGTCCTCTTCCAATACGTACTTCCATATCCAGTCACATAGTTTTTTACATCAATGCTACAGAATAAACACAAATAAATTAATTAGATGTACAGTTAGATCTTTATCAACTAAATTTTTATGCCTACATAAATTAAATTTAAATTTCAGCCAAACAACACCCCAAAATGTTTGTTTTTTCCTTGGAAACAAAGCTACTTACATGACTACGTTATAAAATCCCCAATTAGGTATTTGCACAGAATTCTTCGCGGACGAGAGGAATTACCACATTTCAATAGGAAGTAGAATAAATCCAGAAGAAAAGCTTAAAAGGGGGAGTGATTATATACTTGTCGCTGATGGCGAAGGTGAGGCCGGAGAGGGGGAGGCGAGCCGCCGGAGGCGGCGGCTGAGGAAACGGGAGAAGCTCAAAGCGGGCGACGAAAGCTCCGAAATCTTCGTTCACGGAACTCTTGGCTCTGATCCGGCGCCGTTGGACCTCCGCGAGGACTAAAATTCCGGCGAGGCCGACGCCGATCACCACCCATACTCTCGGATTCGATGCCAATTTTGACAATTGACGATCGGAAAATGACATGATAACAGCTAATTGTGGACAGTTATACTTCTCCTCGATAGAATTGAGGCTGGGGTTTTAGAGAGAGAGAGAGATGGGGTTTAAGGCTCAAATTCAATGTTCTTATGAAATGTAGAAATATTGTGTGGAAAATACAGTTTTCATCCCTTAAGTTTGCACTAATTTCACATTTGGTCCGTTATGTTTAGGAAAAATTCATTTAGTCCTTCATATTTTAATAATTCAATAATTTTGGTCATTTCCGTCAGTTTATTGTTAGTCTGTTAGTCCTTCAGTTAAGACAGAGAAGTGAAGGACACAAGCTTGATTCTGTTACTATTGACGGAAAATTGACGAAAATGGCTAAAAATAATGAAATTTTGAAACATGAAGGATCAAATGTATTTTTTTAATGAACATGGGACCAAATATGAAATCAGTGCAAACATGAGGAATGAAAATTGAATTTTTCCCAAATATTGAATACACCAAAAAATATATATGTGAAATTTATGATAAATATCAATAAGTTTATAGTGAATGTTACGGTAAATCTGTACACAATCAATACATACACATGATCGTGTTTTTTTTATATATATAACTAAAATGTAAATATATTAATGAGGCGAAATAAACGAGTCTAAGATAGGGTAACCTCCATCACAAAAACAAGCAGCTGGTAAAGCATCAATATCAACAAAACCATTCCATAAACATGATAATTCCCATTTTGCAAGGTGATCAACAATTTCGTTTCATTAGCACTTTGACGGCAATATTTAAATTTCTGTTTCGGCCACAGAAACCATTATTTTAATACTTTAATATATAGATAAATTAATATAGAGATGTGCAGCGCAAGTCACACCTTTATAGTATATACAACAACTACTGTATCTTGAGAATAAGTTAAAGTGTCGAACGTGCCTCCAATTCATTAAAAAGTCTCATTGATAAAAGTTTGAATTAAGCAAACACACTTAATACTAATCTTGCTAATAAATTAAGTAAAGTTATCCATTTACGTGCATCCAATTTATTCACAACTCTCATTGATAAAAGTTTTAATTGTGTAAAGACCCTTATCAATAATAAATGTATAACATTTAAGAATTTTTTTGTTATTATTTATAAACTCTTTTTGACAATACCCTCCCATTGTTTATAATGTTTCACATTGATTTTTGAGCATAATATAAAATAAATCTCGAAAATTATAAAACACTAAAATTATAGATTTTTTTATGAACTTTCTAACACAACTTGAATCAAACGAATCGAATTTTGTAATATAAAGTTATAATAAAAATAGGGAAAAATAGAGTTTGTGGCCCTCAAGTTTGCACCGATTTCACATTTGGTCCCCCATGTTCACAAAAAATATATTTGGTCCCTTATGTTTCAAAAATTCAACATTTTTTTAGTCATTTTCGTCAATTTTCCGTTAAAACTAACGGAATCAAGCGTGTGTCCATCATTGCCTTAACTAATGGGCTAACGGTAAATTAACGGAAATGACCAAAAGTGTTAAATTATTGGAACATGAGGGACCTAATGTATTTTTTGTGAACATGAGGGACCAAATGTGATAGGTGCAAATTTGAGGGATGAAAGCTGTAATTTCCCCAATAAAAATAAATAATGTAATATATTCTATGGCATTTGATTTACATAACACAGATATATTAACACTAGTTCACAAATAAAATAAAATAAAAGATTAAAAAAACATTACTCTATGTCCCTATAAGTACTGCAGAAAACAACCCATTTTACATGTCTTCATGAAAAATAATAAAAATAAAAAAAAATCTACACAAAAAATAAAAAATTAAAAAAATCAACCAATAATAAACAATATAAAAAGAACTTAAATACGGAAAAGGCGAAAATTTCGCATTTTCTTCTCTACAGCTAAAATCGGACGACAATGCAGGAAATGTCGTCCTTACTATCTCTGTGCAACGCTTCGATCACTAGTTGCTTTGCTGCCTTGTGTGGGTCCCGCGTGTTCTTCACAATATCTACAGCCTCTTGATTCGACATAACCTGGAAGAAAATTTACGACCGATGAAGGGCGTTTTAGTCATTTCACATGATAAAAGGAAGGAATAAAAAAGATGCAGAAAGGACGAAAATAACCTTCCATATACCATCACTAGCAAGAATAAGGAATTCGGTCTCGGAATCTATCTCGGCATTTGCTATATCGGGATCGGATCTTAAGTGATCCTTCAAGTTTTTGTCTCCAAAAGCACGAGAAACTGCCAATTGCCCGTTCACTCTCGCAACGTCTCCTGATAAAATATATACCGAAAACAATTTTATATAATATTAAAATAATTGGAGCAAAAAATATTTCAAGAAAAAGTAGAAGGGAAGAAAAGGTGAATGATAAATCGAGAAATCGTGCTACGATAAATGGCTAGATGGAAAATGACCTCTCTCGTACGAGCAATTAGTCATGCCAAAAAACCCAAAAACGACGGAAACAACTACTAAAAAGAACTCACGAAATGTTCAATAAGAAACATTTAAAAAAATTAAAAAATCAGAAATACACGTCGCTCCAACAATTGCTACCGAATGCGACAGCCAAACACATGCGACTTAAAATAAATAGTAAATAAATTAATAAAATCAAACTATGTAATACAGTAGAACCTCGATAAATTAATACTCGATTAAATAATAACCTCGATTAGATAATAGTTTCTCTCGGTCCTGACTCGGTGAAAACCCGACTCGGTGAAAACGTGTTAAATTATTAACTCGATAATTTAATAATTCGCTAAATTAATAGAATTTCCGTGGTACCTGGCAAGTTCGAAACGAATCCACCTCTATTTTCGATACTACCCCTCTCCAAATTAGGCTCGTGATCAATGCTCATCTGTACAGCCTCACCCCTTCTAGAAAGCACCCCCCTCGAATCTCCCACATTAGCCACCCACAAGAATCGACCGTTTATAAGAATCGCATTTACGGCGGTCGACCCACCTTCCCCCAATTCGGTACTATGCGACAAAATAGCTTCGTCGGTTCTCTCGTAAGCTTTAGCAATACACGTATTCGGGTCCTTCAAAAACCCCTCCTGCAATAAAAATTCAAGAATCGCGTAAAAATCGGTTCTTGGTTAAAAATTAGAAAACGGGGTGTGTGTTTTTTTAAATTCGAAACTAACGAACTGACCAACCTCCTTCAAGATATTCGAGAAAAGATTCTTTTGTAAGTAAGTGGGCACGTTGTCGCCCATGTGCCCGTCGTAAATGGCGAATAGACCGAGCTCGTGGCCTTGAAACTGCACGAATTTCGCCACGTGGTAATCTTCCATTGGATGATTCGCCTTACCCTTTGCTAAACTGAATCCGTACTTAACATGCCCTTTTTTGCTGCTTCCCTTTCCCGAGCTCAACGACGAATTTCCTCCCTAAAAATTATAAAAATAAAATAATTAACTACGCGACTAACTGAGAATACGAGCGATCGATAAGCAGAGTATACAGAACCGAGCATATGTACAACAAGAATATGCGATTATCAATTAAAAGGAAAACCCGAAAGTCGATACTAAATTTATTCGGATACGAAATCAATCATCGAACGAATCCAGAGTACTATAGCAGAAAATTGAAGGGAATTAATTAATTCACCAAAAACTAATATATTTCCACAAAGAGAGTAGAAAATTAACCTCTGAATTAACTCCACTGAAGCAGCATAAACTATCCATTTAAACTCAGAAACCCTCAACCCCTGTAAAAAAAAATGGACAGTAAAATCTTGACCATCAAAACTCAAAGAACCAAGCAACAAATTCACACACAAACACACACACACACATATATATACATATATATTCAAGAATCATAAAAAAAAAAAAAAAAAAAAAAAAAAAAATTCAAGAACAGAACATGGGCATCTAAAAAATATTCCAACTCACCGATCCACAACTCCCAGAATCAAGAAAACTAAAAAGGAGGGGGGAACAAAAGGAAAACCCTATCTGCAAGAAATAAAAAATCAATCTTTAAGCCGAGTTTGAGTTGATCCCCTCTCGGCATGCAAAATTAAAAATTAAAAAATTAAAAAAGGGGAGATTTAATTCAACGAACTGATTTGGGGATTTCGATTTCTTGGAAGGGAAGAGAGAGAGAGAGAGAGAGAATGGCTGCCAAAGAAACAGTTCTTGGCCGCCCCCTTTTGACTTTGCTGCTGTCTTTGTTGATTAATTATTGTTCCTTTTTAATTGATTGCTTTTGCAGTATTAGTAATAAATAAATTGTGAAAAAGCAGAGACAGCTTTTTTCGTTATTACGATTTACAGCTCTGCAATTATAAACTCTCTGTGTTGTGTTCTTGTTTTCAAAGGGGCTTAGGTTTCACAAATTGGGGGAAAAGGGGTTTTGTATTTAATGAGGATAAAAGCACATTCCTTTTTTCTTTTTTTTTTTGATTTGGTCAACCATCTGTTTCCAGCTTTTTTTAACATCTCCGAATTTTGCTTTTAATTTTTAATAATTATTGTTTCCTTTTCTTGCCTTTGCATCTATTTTCCATTTCTTTATTTATTTCTTGTAATTAATACGCGTAGGTCCCGTTTAACTGGCTAAGATAAAATAAGCCTGAGATTCAACTAAATAATTTAATAAAATTCAATTGTAGTATTAAACCTTAGAATAATAAAAAAATATGCATAAAATGCATTATAACATAATATTTGCAACAAGTTTCTTGAATATCAAACATTAAACAATGTTCAATTATTTAGTTAATTATGATTAATCTCTCCAACTAAACGAGGTCGTGCAGTCAATAATAAAATTGGATGAACTAAATAGTAAATATACATTCATATACACTACTAAATGGTGTGAAAAAAAAAATTGAGGAAAAACAATATGTGCACAAAATTCTCATATAGCAGCAATTTTTTCCTCTTTTTAATCCCTTTTTCTTTAGTAGTACAATTAACCCTATGAATTATAGGCTCCGATCCAAAATTCACCCCCAACTAAAAAAATTGGAACAATTTGTACCCTTTCGTAACTCAATCAATGTTAATAACTGGGATTTATAAATAATTAATTTATTCGTATAAAATTTGATATCTTTCAAAAATCAAGTTCCGTGGCACTTTTATTGTGTGAAATATACATGCACGTAAGTACTTTTGCGCAAATAAAATAATACAAATGCAATTTTTTTACATAATAAAATGAAAAAAAAAAAAAATTGTGCACGTTTTTCTCTAATTAACACACCGGGATTTTATATTGTTTAGTGAGATTACGTACGTGGAGTACAAGGAATGTTGTTCCACAAAAAGAAAGAAAATATACTAATAAGAAAAAAAATCAAATCACATCATATATACATTCATCAAAGGCTGGATATTAGGTATTATACTTGAATGCAATAATATTGTGTTGTCAATCAGAAGTATTAGGCATTATGGCAAAAGAAGGTTTATCAACTGAATTAGCAAAAGTAACAAATCAAATCAGAAATACTCGACGGAAAGTCGTTGGGTCCCGGTCCACTCTTGATCGGGATTCAACGTAACGTCACTCTCCACAGCAGCTGCTTCAACACAAACCATCTCCTTATACTCTTCGTCTCCTAAATCAGCCGTACGCCTTGCCTCAAGATCCCATGGATTCCACACAACTAAGAAAATTTAAAAACAAAACCGACTTATCGATCAACGCACGTTTTATTAAATAATTCGTTTCATATAAATACGACATTGTAAAGTATGAATATAATTAAAAAAAAAAAAAAAAAAAAAGTTACCAATTTCAGGAAGATTGGCATCTTTGTGAATGGTAAAAGTTCTTCTAAGCTCACGGTCCCTAACAGTTATCTCATCGGGAGTGTTCAGATATACCCTGTCGATCTATAACGGAAATTAAAATGGGGGTCGTCAAAAATAATATAATTTAAAACTTCTGGTAACAATCTTTATATATATATATATATGTACTTCATTGTCGAAAGTGATTGGATTAGGCCCTTCAGTAAATCGCTCGTGCATCTGCAGATAGTCCACAAAATCCACCGTCTCCAATCCTTCAACCTGAGTTGCCCTGGAAAAGGGATTAATTAAGTTAGTTCACTATTGCAATTATATAATAATAATTGTATTTAAAAAAAAGAAAACAGTAATATAATCTTGTTAGTAATTGATTACCTGATATCTGAAACAGGGAAGTAGGTGTGATAGGCAAATTTGAATGTGAAAGGATTCCCGTCAATGTTGACGTTTTTTACACGAGATATCATAGTCAGATCTCCGGTGGGTCCCAGCATAACACGTAAACGGAGCTCAAATCTGCAACATTTAAAAACAAGAAACATACAATTACGAAAGTTAGTGATTAATGAAAGATTAATATATAGTCGAATACCTATGATTAGGCCAGTTCGGGAAGTTGTCGGGCATATTATCGAGAATGAAATCAACAAATGCATGATCACGGGGTGGAACGGGAAAGGCTATATCGTGCATCAAATCCTCGAGTCTCCACATTCTGGTTCGAGCAAATCCGTTTTCCTCCATGTTTACATTGTCGTAAAACTGATCATGATTAATTATATTATGTAACAATTTATTTATTTTCTAATTAATCAATATGAGACCGAGTAAACGCAGTAGGCAAATGGAAGTCGGAACGAATAAACGCAGTTAGGCAAATGGAAGCCGAAACGAATAAACGAAGCAAACCTTTGGGAAGCAAATTGGGATGCCTCCACGAGCCGGATGTGGAGGTTCGTAAACGGCCTGAAAATTAAACGAAGTACTGCTACATTACATCAAGATACAAAAAAAAAAAAAAAAGAAAAAAAAAACCAGATGATTATTAGGTGATTAATTAAGGAATAATACATGATCGATCATCTCACACTAATTAATAACATAATTTTTTCGTCAAATTAGATAATTAATATATATTTCACAGAAATTTAAATTAATTAAGCAACTGGTAATTAAAATCAGAGAAATTGAAGTACCTCTGTACTGATAAAAAGCAACTCCTCTTCGCGTTCGTTCGTCCATGATACTACCTGAGCTCCATAAAGCATAATCTACAAACGGATCGAAAACATTTAATTCATCAAAATCACGATCGAAACCCTAAGCGCGCACCAAAATACACTGCGTATAGTTAATTACGCCGGAGCAAAAGGGGGAAACTTGAACGGAGACTGAAAATATATATATACCTCGGCGGTGTAGCCGCCAGGATGAAGAAGAGTGATGTGAGGGACGCCGTCGCCGTCGTCATATTGCCTGTACGGCCACTGCAGTACAGCTGGTTGCTGCATGTTCGGGGCCAATTGCAAAACCATACTGAATGTGTGTTTGTGTGTGTGTGTGTGTTTGTGCGTGTTTAATGGATGGAAGAAGAAGAAACTCCGGGTGATTATTGTAACTGCTGCAGATCGGAATATTTTGATAATGGTGTTTTCCCCCTTCTTCACAGCTTGTGTCAATTTATAGTAACGGAATATAGTTTCCGCTCTCTAACTGAAATCGATAGATACAGGCATGTACAGTATTTTTTCCGGCGCCGAATTACCACAATACCCCCGTATTTTGTATTTTGTTCTTTTCTTTTATTTTTTTTGCCAAATTACGGGCACCTCCTTGAACTAAGATCAAATTACAAACAACCCATCTTGTTTGGTAATTACTAATTACAAGCATGACCCACACCCAGAGCCCATTTCTAGTAGGGGCCCACAAAATTTTTTTTTTCGTATAAATTATATATATATATATATATATTTCAATGTTACTTATTTTATTTTAAACAAATTTAATTATTATCATGTAAAATATATCAAAAAATAATAAAATTTAATAACTGAAAAATATTTGTAATTACAAAAAATCATTTATTAATATTAGAATTGAAATATTATTGAATAGAACATAAATTAAATGGCTTAATCTCATTTGCACCCTTGAAATATACCATTTTGGCAATTTGCAACCTCGAAACAAATTAATGGCACTTTGCACCATCAAAACACAAATTATCATGCATAATACACCACACGTGAGTTTTTAAAGCTAATAAAGGTAATTTAATATGTTTAGTGGTATTTAAAATTTATATTTTTTTATCACAAAAAATATATTACGAAAAAAAATTTATCAGCTATTTTGTTATCAAGTTATCTGAAAACCATATTTTCTTCAAAATATTTATGCATAATATTTCCACCAATTACAATAAAAGATCTATCAAGCGAATAATTTAGTGATAAAGTTTATTTGATTTTATTTTGTAAGAAAATGTAATTTTTTTCAATAATCCCGTATGATTTTAAATTCTTTCTTACTTTGTGCGCTCGAAATTAGGTTAGGGGTTGAAGAAATAAAAATTTAATTTGTTATTTTGCACCTTGGGAAAAAGAAAATCAATAAAAAATGAATTATCATTTATTATTCAATTAAGAATGCATTTATTATGTTTTAAGGGTGCAAAGTGTAAAGTGTTATTATTGTTTTTCAAATAGTGTAAAGTGCCAAAAGGCTACATTTCAAAAGGTGCAAAGTGGAGTTAAGCCTAAATATAAATATGACTCTATCATACAAAAGAATTACTTAATATCTTTAAATGTAAAAACACTGCAGAATCAGAAACAAATCAAATAGGAAAATCATATCAAATCACATATTGATCAAAAGCTGGATATTAGGTCTTATACTTGAATGCAAGAAGAATATTGTCAACCAGAAGTAGTACTATAATATGGGGGAACAGAGTATTACATGAATGTATGTATTATGCATTATGGCAAAAGAAGGTTTATCAACTGAATTAGCAAAAGTAACAAATCAAATCAGAATTGCTCGACGGAAAGTCGTTGGGTCCCGGTCCACTCTTGATCGGGATTCAACGTAATTTCACTCTCCACAGCAGCTGCTTCAACACAAACCATCTCCCTATACTCTATGTCTCCGAAATCAGACATACGCCTTGCCTCAAGGTCCCATGGATTCCACACAACTAGAGAAAATAAAAAGAAAACAGATTTATCAACGCACGTTTTATTAAATAACTCGTTGCATATGTAAATACGACATAATAAAGTATGTATATAATTGAAAAAATCCTTACCAATTTCAGGAAGATTGGCATCTTTGTGAATGGTATAAGTTCTTCTACGCTCACGGTCCCTAACAGTTATCACATCGGGAGTGTTCAGGTATACCTTGTCGACCTAAAAACGGAAATTGAAGTTGGGGTCGTCAATCGTCAACATAATTAACTGCACAACAAATAATAATTTAAAACTTAGGTAACAATCGGCAGAATTGATCTCTTTATTATATATATGTACTTCATTTTCGAAAGTGATTGGATTAGGCCCTTCAGTAAATCGCTCGTGATCATTCAGATAGTCCACATAATCCACCGTCTCCAATCCTTCAACCTGAGTTGCCCTGAAAAAGTGATTAATTGAGTTAGTAGTTCACTATCGCGATTATAATAACGATAATAATAATAATAATAATAACCGGCCAGTAATATATAATCTCGTTACTATTACATGATATCTGAAACAGAGAAGTAGGTGTGATAGGCAAATTTGAATGTGAAAGGATTCCCATCAGTATTGACGTTTTTTACACGAGATATCATAGTCAGATCTCCGGTGGGTCCCAGGATTACACGTAAACGGAGCTCAAACCTGCAACATGCATTTAAAACACGAATGATACAATTACGAAAGTTAGCTATTAATGAAAGATTAATATATAATCAAGTACCTATGGTTAGGCCAGTCCGGGAAGTTGTCGGGCATATTATCGAGAATGAAATCAACAAATGCATGATCACGGGGTGGAGCGGGAAAGGCCGCATCATCCATCAAATCCTCGGTTCTCCACATTCTGGTTCGAGCAAATCCGTAGTCATCCACGTCATAATTGTCGTAAAACTGATCACGATTAATTATATTATACAATCAAATTTAGTTTCTTCTAATTAATCAATACGAGACTGAATAAACGCAGTTAGGCAAATGGAAGTCGGAACGAATAAACGCAGTTAGGCAAATGGAAGTACAAACGAATAAATGCAGTTAGGCAAATGAAAGTCGAAACGAATAAACGCAGTTAGGCAAATGGAAGCCGAAACGAATAAACGCAGTTAGGCAAATGGAAGTCAAAACGAATAAACGAAGCAAACCGTTGGGAAGCAAATTGGGATGCCTCCACGAACCGGATGTTGAAGTCTGTAATCGGTCTGAAAATTAAAAATTTGTTATTTGTAATTATTATTTATGACAGTACTGCTACATTACATCAATATACAAAAATAAAAAACCAGATGATTAAGGAATATACAAGATCCATCATCTCACACTAATTAATAACATAATTTTTTCGGCAAATTAAATAGTTAATATATTTCACAGAAAATTAAATTAAATTAAATTAAACCACTGGTAATTAAAATCAGAGAAATTGAAGTACCTCTCCAGTGAGAAAAAGCAACTCTTCTTGGCGTTCGTTCTCCCATGATATTACCTGAGCTCCAAGTAACTGAATCTACAAACGGATCGAAAACACTTGTTCATCAAAATCAAATTCAAAATTCAAAATTCAAAACAATGAAAACCTAATCGCGCACCGAAATAAATACACTGCGTTAGTTAATTATTACAATAGGGGGAAACTTGAACGGAGAATGATATATATATATATATATATATATATATATATATATATATATATATATATTACCTGAGCTCCAAGTAACTGAATCTACAAACGGATCGAAAACACTTGTTCATCAAAATCAAATTCAAAATTCAAAATTCAAAACTAATCGCGCACC